TCTCTATTCCGAAGCTGTGGATAGTTGTAGGCACAGGCAGAGACTTCAAGCAGCTTCTGACCCTGGGAACCATTTGGCTGGCATGAGGTGCTGTGTGTGTTGTCAAGGTCAACTTATGGGGAAAGTTGACCGGGAGAGACCTTTTATAGAATGTGTTTGTTTTGCCAGACTGAGAGGATGGAGTGTTTATACAGCTTTTGGTTGAAATTCCTTCTTTGTTGTAGAGAGATTATTGTCTGAGGAAACAAGCACTTGAGGGGGAAGAGGTAGGTGCCGGCCAGCTGAGAAGTATTTTAATTTTAGTTCCTTACATTTGTTCAAGGTTTTATTCAGTGCTTTGGAGGGTGAATCTGAATTTTCTCAAAAAACCAAACCAAACCCTGAAGCCAATCTTGGAGGCTTAGCGTGGGGTAGTGTTACCGTGTTGCTGTAGAAGCTTCTCCACATTCCGCGATGGAAGGAGTCCGCAGGCAGAGGACCTTGTTCTTTATTCTGCTCCTCTGGCTGCCCCAGTTGTTTCCCAGGAACTGACCGTAAACCACTGCCCTTGCGCCTGGTGTGTCCTTGTGATGCGAGAAAACATACCCCTGCGTGCAGCTGCCATTTGCCTTTGTGTGTTAATAGTACTCCCAGTGGCCATGGGGAGCCAGCTTGGTGCTCTCCTAGAATTTCCAGTGTGGAGGGCTCCTGTCCCCCCACCTCCGTTCCCGTCTGCTGCACACCCCAGGACTGTGACAGATTCAAACACATCTGAGGCTTGACGATAATGATCTCTCCTACCTCCTTGTACCACGTCTCTAGTGAAAGTGTCAGTTATAGGTCTACTATCCCTGGGTCTAGAACAGTGTCTCCCCAGTCGAGTTGAACATCCGAATCACCTGAGGAGATTAAAAAAAAAAAAAATGACAGGTTTCCAAGCCCTACTTCTGATTATGGAATCAGAATACCTGGCTCTTCCAAGAGGACTCTCCCGGGCTGACAGAATTAGCAGCATCGCCTTATGAAATAATCCGTGGGTCCTAGGTGGGGGTGCGTGGGGGTGGGCATAACTTGAAGATAGAGGAGTTTCTTTCTGACCGCTTCATTTGGGTAGGTTATGGTAGGGAAATAGCTAAATAAAGAAAATCTAGGAGCAACCACATTTTAGCGTTAAGGGCATTGCTTGCTAACCTTTGTTCCTTTGAAGTTCTTTTTTAGTTTGGTCCAGAGATTTCTAACCTAGAATTTTCCTAAGGCTAAGGATGAGGGAAGGTAGTGGAGATCATATCTGTATATGTGTATGTGTGTGTGTGTGTGTGTGTGTGTGTGTGTATGTATACGAGCGAGAGAGCGAGAGAGAGAGTAAGAGAGAGAGAGCGCGTGCGTATGCAAGCATGCTTTGTTGAGATACTATTCACGTTCTTTTCACTTAACCCACTTGAGTGTACAGTTGAATAGTTTTGGTATGTTCCCAGGTTGTGAAGCCATCATGACAATAGATTCAGCATCTCCCCAAAGGAAACCCTGTATGTGTTGTAAGTTATTTTTAATACTCAAAGAAATCTAACCTTCATGATAAAGCTGTACAGGCTAATATCAAGGTTTTTTGATTCAGGCTAGAATTATAGCTGATAGAGGTCACTCATGCTTAGCTTTGTTTGAGAGTTACATTATTTTTGAAGGGAAAATGGGTTTAGAAACCTCGTTTGTTGGATGTTGGCTTTCAGGTGAGAGGGCAACAGGTTGTGCGTCTCTGCACTGTTCCATCCTCACCAGTTGACTTGATGTCACATGATGACTGGTGACCAGCAATGGAAGGCATGTTTCCAGGACTTATTAGGTTTCTTTTTTTCTTTTTAAAGATTTTATTTATTTATTTATTTTAGAGAGAGAGCATGTGAGCAGGGGGAGGGGCAGAGGGGGAGAATCTCCAAGCAGACTCCCTGCTGAGCATGAGCCCCCCCCTCACCCTCCAATGTGGGCCACAATCTCATGACCCTGAGATCATGAACTGACCTGAAATCAATAGTCAGATGCTTAACTGAGTTACCCAGGTGGCCCCAGTGATTTCTTCTGGATTCAGCAGGCAAATATTAGTAAACTAATATTTCTGCACAGTGGGTAGATGTGCTTTATTCTTAAGAGTCCTTACAACTTTTCCCATATATGTGTGATCCTTAGCCCTCATTTTGTACTATCCTGGTTAGGCTGGTGCACAGCTGATTGACCTTCTGCAGCTCTTTTGAACTGAGTTGTCTTGACCAAGTGACTTGTCCAAGGACTGCTATCAGTGTAGCCAAGATATACTGATGTCACTTGTTGTCAAGACAGGCTGTTGCCTAATCTGGGCTTTGGAAATTTGGATTTGGGAATTGGGGCTGTGAGATTTCAGCAGACCTAAGGAAGTTCAGTCCCTGATTTGCCCGTGGGTCTTCTTGGGGAAGGGAAGATGCCGGGGCACGCAGAACCTAGCATCGTGTCAGGGGCAGCTTGCTTCCCATTCGTCATGACTTCCAGGTGCTAGATCCTTCCATGAATAGCAGGAAAACAGTGACCTTTTACTAACTTTAATTACACCCCAGCTACAGTTCTCGTTTCTAAAAATCACTATTCTGTAGGTTTCCAGAACCTCTTTACCCTTGACCTCTACCTTTTTCATCTGGGAGTTGTACTCATGGACCACCCAGCTATCACACACCCAGACCCATGACTCCAGGAAGACCTGCATTTCACAGCTAATATCTGCTCCTGGGAATTTTGGGAATTAAGTGCTTTATTTACTTAATCTTCTTCAAATAGGAGTTTGCATGTTCTCACTGCCATAATTAAAAAAAAAAAGACAAAACAAGCACATAGGGAAAAAGCACAACACCCACAAAAACCCCCATGACCTCAGATAAACATCTTACCCACCATTGCCTAAGACACTGTGTCCTACAACCGAAGGAATGCTTTGGGTGGTTCTCCCTTGGTGGGCTACACAGTTTGTGGACTCTGAAAGCCTCGGATTCTCTTTTCTCCCTTTCTTGTTACATGGATTGGGCTCCTTGGTTATTGACCCTTCACCCAAAGGTGGAAGGAGTTGAACTCAAAGGCTGATTGCTGTTTTCGTGGAGAACCATGAGCCCGTGGTGGTTTGTGAGTGTCTGATTACCATGATTTCTGCTTGGATTCATCAAAAGGTGGTTTGCTTTGACATGAAAAAGGTCTGCTGTATAATCCTGCACTTTGACAGTTGGGTTCCCTGCCTCGTCTGTCTCATTTTGAGATTCTCAGACCTCACTGTGCAAAAGATACAAACAGGGAGATGCCTGGGCCCTGCTCCCTGAAGTTGTTTCCACAGGATGTGGACTAGGATTTTGCATTTAGGATTGTCCCCGGGGCCTTCTGATTAGGATTCATACCTACCAGCCAATAGCGAGGAGCTGTCTTGGAGTTTGTGCTCCGCTGTTCAGGTACCAGCCCAGCCTGTGGTTAAATGCTGGGTAATTAACAAGGTCTAATTAAAGCATGTGTGGTTTCCAAGGTAACACAGTCACGCCTGCTCAGGCTGGGAAGATGGAAAAGGACCCCAGTGAGACTGCAGTGGGGTGTGGGCTCCAGATTAATGTCATCTAAATGCTTTATGATTGCCTGGGTTTGTGCCCATCCGTCCCAAGCCCTGTTTAATGACAGCGGCAAAAATGAAAGTAAACAATGTTAGAATACAAGCCAGAAAATCGCTGGACGACTTCTGGAGGCCATGATGAGGACCCGAGGAGGGATGAGTATAGCCATTCAGTTGCTTGTATTTTTCAGTTTAGTCCAGAATAAGTTTAGTCTTTAGTCCAGAATAAGATGGTGAAGGAACAGGAGATGACCTTGAAAGGCTTTTGAAAACGAAAGGCCAGCTGCAGTTAAACATTGGAGTGCTATTCCTTGGTGCTCTAATGGCTCGTACTGTTCAAGTTCATCTCTTCTCAGTTTGTCAGGTGAGGCTTGACGTGACATTTATTGAGTGCTTCCTGTGTGCTGGGAACTTGCACCTAGATTTTCTTGCCCTTTTGGCCTAAATGCAAAGGTTCCATGATCTGTAATTTTCCAATTTTTAAGGGTGGAAAAGATAGTCTATACTATATTTTAGCACAGGATTCTGTGTTTTGGTTTTAATTTTGAACCTGTAGGGCAATGGGAAAGGCAGTCCACTGAGCTCAGGTTTCCTAATGTCTCTGAGGTTCCATCGCCACCTCGGGACTTAGCTTGAGAATCAACCATCTTAACTTCTGAAGGGTGACAACCCCTTGCAGAATCCAGTGAAAACTGGGAACTACCTTCCCTGGGGGAAAAAGGTACATATGTATTTTTTTAAAAAATTACATTCATTTTCCAGGAGACCTCAGACCTCCTCAAGGAGGTGATTTCCTAAGAGTTTGCCAGCCTCAACTGGGAATCCTTGGGTCCCTCGAGACCTTGGGGTGGGGGATGGGAGCCCTTTTCATTGTTTAGAGTGGCTTCCTGCAGAATGAGGTTTTTGAAGAGGGAGGTTTTGTTGTTCCTGGCATTTTTTACTAACTGCCCTGTGCGTGCATTTGGGAGGGAAAAAAAAAAAGAGAAGCCACGCTGAGAAAAATAAATAGGGAATGAATGGCATCTGGAATATGAACTGTTTTCCTTGTCACTCCTTAACTATCGTGGCCCTTCAAAAGGAGGCGATGGAGTGATCGTATCATGAACCCTTGCGGCATACAGTTCTTCTTGTACAGTGACAGGAAAACTCGTTCTACTTTTAACCTTGGGGAAGCTGACATTTAATAAAGTTTTGGTGAACTTGAGAGTGTCAGAAGGTTCTAGGGACTACAGGGAGGGGAAATAACATGTTCTTTACCACTTCTTAGCTTCTGATTCTGAACATCTTCCTAACTCAATCCCGATGGCCCGCGGCCAAAAGTCATCATCTCATCAGGAGGGACTATCTGTGGGGTTTATTTGGAAACCTAAAGATTTAAATTTTTTTTCTTTTTTTTTCCCCACTCTCTGCTCAGGTGTTGAAAAATCTCTAGAGCTTGGGAAAGCTGACTGGACTAAACATGAAGAGCTTGAAAGCCAAGTTCAGGAAGAGCGACGTAAGTAGGCGGTGACTTACCGTCTGTCCGCCCCACGCTCCCTCTCCTGGGGCAGGCGGCACAGCTCTCCACTCCCACCGTGATAAGGCCCTGGGTTAATCAACTACAGGAACCAGAAGCGCGCGCTGGCCCTCAGCTCTGGGTGGCTCTTGTGAATGGCACGCTCTGGGTTCCGTGCTGTTTGTGTCAATAGCTTTTGAAAATGACTTCTTCAGTCCTGTGGTCTGTGCCTTGTAGAGAAAGAAACAGTCCATTCCAACATCTTAAAGAAAAGAATTGGTAAAAACCTTGGCATTTCTGAAGCCCCCCCAAATCTGATTCAGAATGTCCGTTTTAGAGGAAGATGGTCTGGTGAGAGTAGTTAAGAATTACGTGTTAGCTTGGTTCATCTTTGGCTTTAAGAAGGTTTTTGTTTTTGTTTTTTCAAACTCTCTGTTAAGGCTTTTGTGGTAAAACAACAGTATCTCTTGCTGCCTGCACCTTGACTCCCCCTGAATTCCTGGGGTTCTTACTTATTTGTTATCCATCGTACAAGATTTTGGGTTGGAGGAACCAGTTCCGATGTCGGGTTATGAAACAAAGTCTCCGAGAGGAGAAACTGGAGAAAAATAGCATAGCATTCTTATACACGTGGTATCTTAACGCAAGGTCACCTCCAAAACCCCGCTGGGACTCTGGATGCTTTGGGCAGAATTGTTGAACGGGAGAAATTCATGGCAGGACATCAGATGGAAGCTAAGATATGTCAACCCTCATCCAGGGCTTGCTTGGCTCTCCTTTAAGATGAAGTAACCAGAGGTGAACCTGGATTTTTATCATTTTGCCATGAATTCTAGGACAGGTTGACACACCCCCATTTTTGTTTCTGTTTTTGTTTTGTTTTGTTTTTTAATTTTTTAAAAAAGATTTTATTTATTTACTTGACAGACAGAGATCACAGGTAGGCAGAGAGGCAGGCAGAGAGAGAGTGGGAAGCAGGCTCCCTGCTGAGCAGAGAGCCCAATGTGGGGCTCAATCCCAGGACTCTGAGATCATGACCTGAGCCAAAGGCAGAGGCTTCAATTCACTGAGCCACCCAGGCGCCCCAACACACCCCTGTTTTTAAAATAAATGGAGGCTGCACCTTTGATGGCTAACAGGCCATAGGCGTACAGCTCCTTTTGTCTGAAGCTTATCTTTTGTGCTGATGGGGCCCAGACTAGTTGAGATGCCTGTGGGATGGTTGCAAATTTTTCTCTCGCTTAGGGGTTAGAGCTAGAAAGGGATTTTAGGAAAAAATTGGGTTTTTTACCTTCGCATTCTTTAGGTAAGTGAAGTGGAACTCAGAAAATGTGAAGTGACTTGGCCAGAGGCCTCCACTTTGCCCCTGGCCCCTGAGAGCCTTGGTCATCTGACTTCCTTAGCCTCTTGCCCCTGCTGCTCCCCTGAGAAACCCCTTCAGCCTCCCCATCTGCTGGCCCCATGATACCCAAGCCAGAAGAGCTCCTGTGGCTTTCAGTGAGGAGGGAAAAGTCAAGCAGCGGATATGGGTTTGTACGTCGTGTGACCAGGTTAACAAATGGCTTTTCCATCCTGAGGAAATTCGGGTAGCTTCCATTTATACAAGCTGAGATTATTTTAGCAAAATTTAATCAGTCTAGAATTCCAGGATATATGAACAGGGGCGGGGGGAAATGACAGACACATAAACTTTGGGTTTAAAAAATTAAAAACTGGTGGTAGGAGGGAGGGTGTTGCCGGAATCTAGGTTTTTAAATAAAAATGGAACTATTTCCGCAATTAAGAATCCGCAATAATAACACTATTAAAAGCTGCTGGGATTTGGCAGCAAGAGGACTGTGCTTTTGGAATTTGGTGCTAAGAGAAGAGATGTTAGAGGAGCAGCTCGGGCTCCTGGAGCAAAGGAGATGGTTATCATGAGGCCAGACGATATCAAATGGCTTTTCATATTTGATCAAAATATCAAATTTGGGGTCTGTGTATCAGTTTGTTCATCAGCCATGGGATAACTAACCATGAGGAAGGACTGACGTTGGTCAGGTACAGTGCAAAGCTCATTGGGTGAAAATCCTTCAACCTTACTGTTAGGTAAGGTTGTTACCTAACAGTTACTGTTACTGTTAGATAACTGCTAATGTTAGGTATTACCATTAGACTCATTTTACAGTTGGAGAAATGGAGACCTAGGAAGGTATGGTAACTTGTCTGGGTTCTCAGAGCTCTACTTTGTACCATCCATTTTTCTGCCACGGCAGCCGCATTCCAGAGCACAGGTCTCCTAAAAGGAAATTTGGATGGAGAGTTGACTTTGGAAACCGTTGACTCCAGGCAGGAGCTTGGAAGAGTGACTTTGGATCCAGTTTGGTGACCTTGGGCAAGTCTCTTACCTTCCTGACCCTCAGGTTCCTCACCTGAAGAGGGGGAATAGCATGTGAACCTTACCAAGTTGTCACGAAGGTTAAACGTGCTGATGTATGTAAAACACACAGCATAGGACCTGGCATTCAGGTGATGCAGGGTAAATGCTGATTCCTTTATCTTAATCTGAAACCCCTGATAAAAAAATAGGGTTTGGAAAGTGTCTGTGGTCTGGAGGGCAGAATAATCTGGTAACGATTGCTGCCTTGAGGGGGGAAGCTGGGGTGAGTGGAGCAGGTAGGCTTGGTTTTCAATGTGTGTCTTGTGGTTTGAATTTTTTGGCATATGTATGTGCACATACACGTCACTTATTAAGCGAAAAACAAGTTTCAAATGATTTATATTTAGTTAAATGAGCCGAACTGGAATCTTCCTTACCGGAAGTGAGTGGTCTCTCCGGAATAACAATCCTAAACCACCAGCCATCAAATTTTCCTGTTTGTCTTTGTATGAGGCTGAAGGGAGTAGAGGGAAGAAAGGGTTCTTTGTATTTCTGGGAGGTAGGAAAGAAGAAGGACAGCAGATCATGTTTGTGCTTTCATCAAGAGAAGGCAGGTGACCCAATGGTATGATCGCATTTCAGCCAGCCTGTTCCTGGGAGGTCTGCAGCCAATCAGTTTGAGGCCATTGAGAGCAAGGAGTGAGAAAGGACAAGAGTGGCCCAAAGGAGGCCCTCCTGGATGGCCTTAAGGTCACTGTGCCACTCCAGGACCATCATGCGTGTAGAGATTTAATCCTGGAGTCCTTCCCGGAACACTTTTGACTCAGCTGTCTACTCGGTCAAGAGCAGGTTTATGTGAGTATAACAGGGGGACGAGCCCAGTTCTCTGGGCTGTGGTTAGGTACCGTCATTGTCCCGTTGCTCTCCATGCACACTTGGGAGCCTGCAGTAACCCACAGGAGCCAGAGAGAATTAGGGAGCTCAGTGCTTGCCTTTCGGTGGATGACGTCTTTCACTTGACATGTATAACTATTTTGGGCATCCTTAAACTTGGGTTAGATTCTAGAGAACATAGAGGAGAAATGTGAGGTGCGCATCTTGTCTTGAAAAAGCTCACAAACCAAGACAGGAGGAGAAAAAGTCCACGCAGGAAATAACCAAGGCGAGATACAAACCGGATATAATGCAGAGAGTAAAGGGGGCCTTCCGCAGTGATGATACAACCTGTTGTCAGATTGCAGGGTCTGGATGATTAATGCTATCCGTTTTTGGAGGGGTTGAGTCATTGGAAATGGAGAGATTGGGGGAGCTTTACAGAGGGGGAGATTTTTTCCCCCCAGGCCTCCAGGATTTGGAACACTGGCTGGGAATGCAGGGGGAAGGGAATGCTGGGGAGGGGAGTGCTGGGGGAGCCAGGCCCAGTGCACAGTGGGGAGGCTCCGTTTCAAAAACTTGCCCTTGACGTGCAAAACAGTCATACTTCAAGAACCCAGGAGAGAGCCCGTGGCATGGCTGAGTCTTTTAATAAAAACATTATAAATTTTCACTCTTGTTTTAAAAATGGACATGCTTGACTTTTACGCTTATAAAATGAGCACAGAGTTTTAAATCTTCATTATTTATATCTTTTATGACTAGAGTTTGAAAGTGGCTTCTTTACCTCTTGAAATTTTTGCAGCCACCAGTACTCGGTTCCACATGGAAAAATGAGCTGTCATCATGAGAAATGAGGCCAAGAAGGTTGGGATTTCTCTTTGTTAATAAAATGCTCAGGCTTCTGGAATTTCTTTGTAAATGCCAATTTTTGGTGCCTTGAGTGAAATGGGTGGAGCCTGAGGGATGGGAAATGGGGTTGAAAGATCTTTGTAACGAATCTTGAGAAATGCCTCTTAGACATGACTGAGGCCTTCAAAGTTTACATTGGGGGCGTGTGTTTAATTTTATGAAAGATTTGTTCCTAATTACGTTTTTCATTGTAATAGGGAAGCAGTGGACATTCCATGGGAAAAAAAAAAAAAGTCAAGGCAGCCTGTTCAAAATGGCTGGCTCCGTGAGCTATGAAATCGGTGGTATTTCTTTAGGTAGTAGCTACTAATGATTGCAGCTTTCAGCCAAAGAAATGCACACAGCCTGTGAATCTTGAGGAACCAGACACATCCTGCTCAGACAGGAGTCTGAATTTGTTGCCCGTTGAGAGAACTATTCTTATGAAGGTCGATCATCCACACCTCTGCCAAGATGGTTTTCTTTTTTTTCCCCCCAGGTAGTTTTTGGTCATTTATAATAAAGTTTTACAGATGCCCAAGTCGCCCTCCCCACCACGTATGCGCGTGTGCACACACGCGCACATGCACGCGTGTGCGCGTACACACACACACACACACACACACACATACACACACACACAATGGGAATATTTAAAATCCAAGTCTCTCTGTTGACTGAAGAACCTTGGCCAAATCTTTTGTAAAGCTAAGCCTCTTTTTCAGCAGACATAATGTCAAAATACACCAGAGATGACCTTTTTGGGTGGAGGTATGAGACTCTTGTAAACTTGAGAAATTTGATCAGGTTTGTGTCATGCTACATATTTTCCAGGTCTTGTGAGCCCTTCTGAATGGGGAATCTGCCTGTTACCCCG